ATATGCTCAAAAGTTAGCCTGAGCTTCTTTTTATCAGTACATCTACAGAGACATATGAACGTGGAGCACATATTTAAATTATGGTGAAGAAGATATGATTTAATACATCTATTTCTTAACTTTAGTACGGTTTTTTCTATGAATGACAGAGAATTGATTTCCACGAATATAGCTGCAGATTTTCTCATTGTATTCTAGAAAATTAGATGTTTCTGAAGCCAGATATATAACGAACTAATCTAGCCTGCTTTGAATGCTTAAATATAATTCTGCTTCCCAGAACCACATCTAGTCTATTATTAGCATAATTATGTAAAGAGGATTTTCTTTCTCTGAATTTTAATTGTTCATGCTAGTTCTATTATATTGAAGATCGAAGCACTATACTTAATTTAATGGGACCAAGATTTTTTGCTCATTCTTTACTCTTTAGGGCAAATTTTCTGGTCCAATTACCAAAGAAGAACTTGGAAGAGCCACCTGGACTTTTCTTCACACTCTTGCAGTCTTGCTGCTCAGGTCTTTTCTTATTCATTTTTCTGGCAGATTTTCCGGCTCTTTCTAAATATTTTTCTATTGTGGTACTTTGTAATACTTTGAACTATATATGCAGTCATCTTTCTAATACCTTTCTGCTTCACGTTTCAATACATTGGACATTTTTTAGTGAGAGATACAGTTAGCATGCTCTCCCAGTATCCAGACAAGCCAACCTGGCAGCAAAAGAAGGATGCAAAAGAGCTGGTATGGTTATTTTTCACTCTCTTGGTGTTTCTCTGCGTGTTTGTGTTCAATGCAATCTGTTTTTCCCTCGACTGTTTACATCATGTCTTGTCTTGAGATTTCCTAATCTATAAAGCTGTGATGCTCGAACTCTTCATTCCGGCCGGAGTACCCATGTCAACACGACACAACACGGGTACGGGTACGGAATACGGGTCCAATTCATCCAATTTCAATCGAACTCGGCAAGAAATCTAAAGAAAAAATTGAAGATTTACCTTATTGGCTGGAGATGGAAGATGTGTGTAAAGAAATAGGAGGTTAGCGCCGGCGATCCTTGGTCCAAAATAAATCTGCTGGTTGTCTTCCGTTGTAACCCTAAAATCGTGAAGGAGAAGAAGGAAGAGTGGAAGATGGCGAGACAAGAATGAAAGAAGAGATTTGAGTTTAATTGGAGTTGGGCCATTTTGTTTGGGGCTCATAATATGGAGGTGGGTTGGGTTAAAAATATGGATGTGGATGGATTTAATTGGAGTTTGGACCATTTTTATTGGGTTAATAATATGGATATTGGATATGGATGAATTTAATTGGAGTTTGGGCAATGGATATGAGTGGGTTAATAATGTAATTATTTTTACACCACACATATTTTAATTTAATAAAATATTCAAACAATAAAATTAATCATTTTTAAAATCTTTTTTGCAGTTCATCATTTTTAATTCAAAAAATACGACAATAAAAAAAAAAAAAAATCTAAAAAATAAAATTGAAGTTTGAAAAACATACCCACGTACCCGTGTCCTAAATTTGGATTCTTTTTAGCTATGTCCCTGTATCCCACATTTTAGAAAATAAAATATCCTACGCTTTGATATGTACCCGTACCCGAGTCCGAGTATCTTAGCTATAAAGCTTTGTTTCCTGTTTTGTTTTGGATTTAAATTTAAAACGATAGCTTATTTCTACTGTCTCTTTCACCAATCTTAAGATTGGTTCTGTTATTGTACTGATTCAACCCAACTTCAGCAAGGAAGCTTGGTCAGGAAACTGCTCTCATTGTCTCCTAATCTGGATTTGAGAACCATTTTTACATATTTTGAGGGATGCTTTGTCTCAAGTGCCTGTTCTAATTTGACTTATTTATATGCCATGCGTTGCATACATTTATTTTCTACTAGGACTTCATTAGTTTGTGTAAGCTTTTCATGACGACGCAGAAGAAAAATCTCTCATGTTAAGATTGTATCTGGAATTGAATTTATGTGATGAGGAAATCAATGCATTAAAAAAACCATCTAATGGTATCGCAATTGTTGTGCAGATGGCAATATTATCTTGAATATACCCTTGTAGGGAATGTGCAGATCACTTCAAAGAAGTTATAAGGTATGTACTCTTCTCTCTAAGACTAAAAGCCCTGTTACTCTCCCACTCTACCAGCGATAGTGCTTCTATGTCCACTAGAGAAATTCCTGTGCATGAACGAGGCACACAGTATTACTTTTCATATTAGTAAATGATTTCCTTCAATTTCTCACACAGTATTACTTTTCATATTAGTAAATGATTTCCTTCAATTTCTAACATACTCTATTAAATAGCTCTTTGTATTTTGCATTAATTGTGGATAAGAAATCATTAGCAGTTGATGCAGCTGTTTGCGGCATTAATATTTTCCAGAGATACAAGTCCTGGGGGTTTCTACTGTCAGCGTCTTAACCTTTTGAGATGGCCTCGTCTCGTGCTTGGAGAATGAAGTGGAGTCAATTTAATTTCATACGACTCCCAAATGCCTATCATAATAATTTTTCCAAGAAATTAATGCTATATATTTTGTATTTGTTGGCAGAACGAATCCTGTACATGCTGGATCTCATGAAGAATTTTCTCAATGGTTATGTCACGTGCACAATGTAGTTAACAGAAGGTAACTAATGTATCATGAACTCCATAGATTCTTTCACTTCCATCTTGCTACTTTTTATTTAATAAAACTGTAAACTTGATTGCTTCATACAAATTTAAGATGGATAATCACTCCTGTGAGTTCACTCTGTTGGAAACACTATATAACAAGATTCAACTACTCTCAACTTCGTAAAGATGACAAGATTTTTTTTCTGGGCTCGTCTTATTACCAGATCCTAGTTTGTCTTCGTTTAATCGTAAATCAATTCAAATTGTAAAACATTTTGAATTACTACATTACTTACTTGCAGGGGGGGTGGGGGGGATACATTTCAGCCTCCAGTTTCATAAAAAAGTGTAAATTGCTCAAATTTTCTTTCTTGGGTCAGAGAAAACAGGATTGTGTTGATTCCGCCTCTTTTTTGGAGAACTTTTGGGTTAGCAGTTGTTAAACTAGCATCACAAAATCTGGACCAATTTTGTTCCAAGAGCATGTTTATCTAAGGTTAAAAGAAGTAAAAATTACTTTTAAGCTTCTTTTCTGCGTAACATTAAATTATAATTTACTCTTTTCTTTTTTCTTTTTTTTCTCACACTAACAAGACTTACTTTTTCAGAAAATAATTCAACTTTTAAGAGGAACCATCATAAACTAGGAACAGGTTTTCTTACATCATTTGTCATCTTGGGTGAAGCTGTCTATAAATTATGGTTTGGTCTACTTCGGCCTTATTGACTGTCCCGGTTGAATCGAGCCACGTGAAAAGCCTCTGGTTGCCTTGAACGTTTTACATTATGCTTAAAATTAATTTCCTCTCTGTCTCTCTGTCTCTCTCTCTCTATACAGCTTGGGAAAGCCAGTATTTTCATGTGAACGTGTTGATGCTGAGTGGGGCAAGCTGGAGTGCGAGCAGCGTGCATGTGAACAACAAGGGACTACAACAAATTTTCGCCATGTAACACGATGAAGCAAAGAAAATTACCGTCTAATGGAACTGATGCATACAAACCACTGCAGAAGAGAATTTCTTCCACTGTCAAAACCTGCAGCTTCCTCTTATGACATTGGTTTTCCATTCATGTTTCAGGTGGTGGAAAGTGTTATTCGTTACAAACACCCTCCCTAGTATAAGCTTCCTATTTTTTTCTGGGGGGGATCATATGGGAAAGCCTCGTGTCTCTTGTGGAGAAGCTAATCGTTGATTGGATTGTGTATAAATCAATTGTGAAATTTCAAACTTTTACTTGTATAGAATAATGAATATATACACTACTTAGTGCTATTTAATTATCTTTACTAATTACAAAAAATAAAAAAAATTGTCTTCCCAAACTCCGTCCCTAGATAGGTCACCAAGCTGCGACAATAACTTCACCTTTTGAAGGGCCAATCATGTAGGGCAATTGAGCTAAGCCAAGTCAAAAAAAGCTCCTCGCCAAGTAGAGAAAGAGTGAAAGAAAAAGGTAATCAAAATGGAAAAATGTGAAGTGTGTACCCTTTGGTGTCGCAGGCCCCATCCCCTCTTAGAGGACTGTCAAATTAAGTGTACACCTAGCATTGTTCATCAAAATGACCCATCAATATATTGAGGATTTTCTAGACCAACCCCCCACCCACTCCTTGCCTAGGTAAAAGGTCGATTTAGCTTGTGTGTTTAATTTTTAATTTCCATTCTCTTTTGCTATGAGGTTTAGCCTCATTGTTAGTCTATTGTGGTAGTTTATAGAGAGCATTTTTTAATTTAGAGAATAATTTTTTTTATACACTCCATTAAAATTTTTTATTTTGATTCTTTATTTTTATATTTTTTTATATGTGCCAATGCAAATTAATTCATTCTAACGTAGTGACGTGTTTGATTTAATTTTATTAATGCATTTCATAGAGTTCATGACTTCACAAAAGAAACACAAATTTATTAGGGGTCACAAAATGTGACTATTTGATTTTTCATATTTTTTCTCAAATTTCTTTTTTTTTTAAATTTATATTTTGAATTCTTTGTAGTTATATATTTTTAACCCATAATTAGTCAATTATTACTCATTTACCTATTACTCAATTTATAATTTCCCTCAAACAAACACACACATATATTTTATTTTTTTTTATAATTTATCATCTCCAATTTATCAATTACATTGACAGACCCTGTGTTTGGGTTTAATTCAATTTTTGTTTAAAAATTGTATTTTAAATTAAATAATAATTGAAATCACACATTTTTTAAAGATACATAAGAAATACCTACTTTTTTCACCTCTTATTTCTTAAATTAAATGTAAAATTTTAATAAAATGGACTAAATTCAATATTTTAAGTCACCTACTAGGGTTTTGGGACTACCCTCTATAAATACTAAAACTTTTCGCTTTTCTTGCAAAACATACAATTAGGGTTCCTCTTACATTCGATCGGCTTCTCTTTTGCGCTGAAAGATGGGGCACTCTAACATCTGGAACTCTCACCCCAAGACCTACGGGCCTGGTTCCCGCACCTGGTAATCGCGTCACTAAGAGAATTTTAAGTTTTCATTTTTTTTTAAGAGAATTTTTAAGCTTTTTGGTGTAATTCAACGTATTAATATAATATGCAACGGTTTTGAGGGAGTTATGATGTGTTGTTTTACTTTGATCCGTGGATTTTTTGAGACTGATTTGATATTTGTGTATATATATCTCTGTTGATGATGTTGGTCAGCGTTTAATGCTAATTGGTCCGTAGTTTCGTGTTTTTTTTTGATGAATTGTTGTAGTTATAATCTACAGGAGGACAGTAATATAAGGGCTATCTATTATAAATGGGAATTTGGCGTGCTGACTTAAAAAGTATTATGTGTCTTAGATGTATCGGTTGAATGGCCGTCGAGTTCCTGGGTAATTCTAATAATCTTTCTCATATGATCTGTTTTTAGTACATGTCATGCTGAGTTGAAGACTTGATTAAAAAGCTACCTTTTTGAAAAATTTAGTAGATACCATGGGAGTATGCTTAGTACTTGTAAGTAGGGATAGTTTGACTAAGGGCTCGTATGCATGGTTTTTTGCTTCTTCTTTTTATATACAAGCTTTTTGAGAAAGCTAACTTAATTAGTGTTTAGCTCTATTGCATGAACACTTCTATTAGGGTAACGTGCCCATGTTCGACATTGCTCGAACATTCCATCTTAATCATTTTTATTTTTTTGTATTAGAAATCTTATATATTTTTAGCTAAAATTATTAATAAATAACAAATATATACTTGTTGAAAAGATTTCAATAAAAAAATAAGTATAAAACTAAAATTATACTATATAAATGATTAAATGAATAATTTTAAATAATTTAGTCAATGTGTCGTGTCAGTACTTTTTTCAAATCAAAAATTGCGTGTCGACTACAACACTTGCCGTGTCAGACACAAGTATCCATGTCGATGCATCATAGGTGTTTAGAATCTAATTTCTAAATAAATTTTCTTTCAATAGAGCTTTCTAACTAGAAGAAGCATTTTTATAAAATTAATCATTTGCAAATGCAGCTTTTGGTTTTCAAAAATTCCTTTTGACTCTCATAAGTCATTTCAAACGGGCCTTATTATCAGTTCTTATGTTGTGTGAATTAGTTTCATGAAAAACTTCTGCCAAAATTTCCTCCATCTACAACAAGTAATAGCTTGATGTTAGAATACAATGTTGTAATACTTGTTACAAGTGTTGTTGAACCTACTTTGGTATGTAATTTGGACTTGATGCCTGTGTTTATATGTTCACCTTAATATTGACATGATGTATATGATGCTATGACAGTCGTGTATGCGGGAACCCCCATGGAATTATTAGGAAGTATGGGCTCATGTGCTGCAGACAGTGCTTCCGTAGCAATGCCAAGGAAATTGGCTTTATCAAGGTAAATAGTTGAGGTTTTTTTAACCATAATATGAACTATTTATATATACATTTTATATTCTGAGCTATATTTTCAGGGAGACCAATCATGTGTTTCTGAATCTTCATATCTATAGAGCTTGCATTCATTTAACAGAGTTTTTGCTTAAATTAGTCACACTTTGGATTTTCTTGTTTAAATTGAATGTTTCCTTAGCAATTATTTGTTCTTAGTCGGATTTATAACATTCTTCACTATAGTGACAATTTCCTGTGCATTTATGTTTTTGCAGTATCGTTGAGCTGTGAATATCTGAATTTCTGCCCGTGAAGGAGGGCTTTTCTAAGTGGGTTGCTTTTCGATCTCTACGGGCATCCTTTTTATAATTTATCTTTGCCTTTTTTTTTAAGAAGGGTGTGGTAAGAGAGATTATTCTAGTTTTAGATAGAACTCAATTTGTTCCGGGAACTCTTTTCATGGTACTCATTTCTTTCAATGAATCGTGAAATTGTTCATTCTGCAGTTTTTTTTCATTGCACTGATTGCTTTAATGGCACTTTACTTTGAGGTTCAAACACCCATATGCAGGGGCAAGAGCCACACAATACAATAAATTGCTTTGGTCAGTTAGGAGACGGTATCTTCTAGTTTTTGAGTTCCACAGAGTACAATTTCAAATCTCCAGCGAAATCTAAGAACAGAGAATTATCAATCACTCTTTACAGAGAACATTATGAGAGTTTTTATTTATCACAGCTTGGTATGATGAAACGAGACAAGATGTTATGTCGTACTGGTTCAACGTATCAGGACAGAAAATTTGCACATTCAGCCCTTTTCGCGATAACTTGATTTTGATCAGCTGTAACTCGGAAAAAAATGAAACTGTTTCTGCAAAATGTGTGTGCAGGGTTCTTCTTAACCAACACCTCCAAGGATTTAATAATGTACATTCATGGCCCCCAGGGCATATCTCCCAGTGGCAAAGGGGAGGGCGGATAGGGTTCAGCGCGGCAGTGTGCAGAGTTCGATTCCCCGCAAGGTGGAATTGACTTTGTTGCAAGCGGGAGTTACCATATGGGTTAACAGCCTTGGTCTATCCATGTGCTCTCCACCCTCACTCCTGGGAGACACATCTTGCGATTTACCTCCTCCACGATGGCCCAGGACAGGGTCGGTGGGGGCCCTTAGGGTTCAACCTTTTTTAATAATGTACATTCATGAGGGAAATTTTCAGACAACAGAGAAAAAGATCTGTAATCATGCTGTGACTGCAGTACGAACTCGCCGTCTAAGAATTCGTATATGAAGAGCGTATTTTGAGGTGGAAAGGCCTAAAAAAAAAAAAAAATCCCAACAGCTCGTTAGAAAAAAAAAATAAAAAAATGCGGAATAACTGGATTTATCTTTTCTTCAGCAGGCAATTTAACTAGAACTAGGCCACAACGAGCTCAGTTTAGCTCCCAGCTTTGCACTCTTGTAGTCGTCTCTGAGCTGAATGAACCTAAGTTTTGTATCCAATTCAAATATCAATCTCATAAACATATAGTAGCGAAAATTGGCAGCTAAAAGAAAAGTCAAAGCATTAGAAGTGTGATTCGAATCAGTGCAATAAGTTATTACGATTTTGCAGCAGTAACCACACAAGCCCTTAAGAGCACTAAAGCATATTGCCAAAACCGTCGAGATGATGAGCAAAAATAAGCTTTGAAATAATTCTTATTAAGAACAAATATTTTTGGTAATTACCTTTCTGGTGCATCTTTCCGAATGCTTGGGCTTCCCTCATACAGGGATGGTAGGCTTTCAGAAGCAAGTCTAAAGACATTGGCCAAGCTGAAGAGAACATATCAGTAAATGAAGAAAAAATTCGCTACGATATATATGCTTGTGTCCGCATTTCCGGGTTAAGAGGGTGTGTAACATGTTAAGATACAATGACTTACATGCCCAGCAATTCGAATTTTTCATCAACTGAAGGAGCATTGAAACAGCGGACAAATTCCCCGTGCTCTATTATGTGCTGCTTGAGCCTCAATCCTCTACTGTCGAAGTAAAATTCAAAGAAATTTGGAGTGATGGTAGAAGAGCCTCAAGTTTTGCATTCATTGCCTGTTGCCAACACTCTAGTTCCATAGCCTGTTTATAGGAGGAGGGAATAGAAACTGTGTTAAAGGGTAGCGGACATAGAGTTATGGGAGGAAAAACCAAACCTATCTAGTAGATGAGAGACATGAGAAGTTTGACGAAGAGCGGCAGGAGGAAAATGATCATTTGGTGTCGTAAGTGGAGGATCAGGGAGAGGTGGAGGAACAGCTATCTGAGAAATAATCTTGAGATCAGATCGATTCAGCATTCTTGCAAGTTGAAATAAGACTTGGCTTGTACCAAGAGAAGTTTGTAGGAAAATCAGGTATGATACAGAACACGGGAGGGGAAGCAATAGGTTCTAAGGAGAAGAAAAATTGTTTTCTCAAAGAAAACGTTACGTGAGATCCTTATTTGTTATATCTTAGGATCATAACACACATACCATTTTTGAGTCTCATCGTATTCTAGAAAGGCACACTTGACAGATTGAGAAGTGAATTTTGTCCTTTCATGTGGTTGTAAATGAACAAAACACATAGCCAAAAAGACGGAGATGATAATATGTGAGATGATGACTAAAAAGCTTATAAAATTGAGAAACATTATTAGTTTGGAGAAGGTAATTGATTTATAAGATGGACAAGGTAGAAAATGCTTCACACTAGAAGCGAGAGAAAATAGAAGACTCAATCAGAAGGGTTCTACCAATGTCGAAAAGGTGACGATTCTTGCATTTTGCCACCCCATTTTGCTGAGGGGTAGAGAGGCAAGATCGCTAAGAAATAATACATTTGGTCTGTAAGAAAGATTGAAACTTGTTAGACATATATTTACCTCCTGAATCAGATCTCAAGATTTTGATCGAGAAAAATTGGTTATCTATAAGAGCAAGGAAACCCTTAAAGGTAGAGAAAACCTTACTCTTTGTATAGAAAAAATAAACCTATACGAAGCGAATATAATTATCGATAAAAGTAACAAATTATTTATAATGAGCATGAGATATTACAGGTGCAATACCCTATATATCACTATAAACAATATAAAAAATATGGAAAGCATGAGATGGAAATGATAAAATATTATTCTTAGCCAATTTACATGAAGAACAATCAAAGAGATATAGACGAAATCGAAGCAAAATTCTTATTACCAAGCAAATTGGAATTAAACAAGTGCTATTACGTATAAGAATTGGGATGTCCTAATGTCTTATGCCAATCCAAAATATCAAAAGTACCTAGATTAGTAGTTACTTTTTTTGCACAACTTTACAAGCATTGTCTATATCAATAGGAATGATTACTTAATTACAGAGTAATTAAATTTAAAATTAATTTACGTTTTTAAAATTTAAAGCTATTTTCATCATAATATTTGCATTTTACAACGAAACACATTGAATTTATTTTTTGTTAAACAAAATTAAATCCAAATTTTAACAACGACTTTTAATTGAATCTAAATTTATTGTGAGTCATAGAAGACGTTTTTCAAAGTTTTGCGACAAAAACTCGACCATACTCACTGAACTTTGAGGTAATTGAATTTTGATGACTAAATTTTGAGATAATTGAATTTTCGCCAATAAAATTTGATATGGTCGAATTTTTAAATAATGATTTTTTTAGAGAATATGTAGTTAAAAAGTTAGAAAAAATTTTGAGTTTACATAAAAATAATTTTATTGTATAAATATGTTGCTAGATCCAAATTTATAGTAAGTAATATAAAATATTTTTCAAATTATAATGACTAAGATTCGACGTTTCAATGGTCAAAATTTTACCACCTCAAAGTTCAGTGAGTAATAAAAAACATTTTTAAAAATTTAATAAAATTCGACCATTTCGAAGGTTAACGATGTGACGGGATGCCACATGTGCATTTCATTAGCTACGTCACCAATTTCAGTAGATGTTTGAAACGGAAGTCATACTAGTAAATAACGTACAACATTTTCCAAAATTCAGTAGTGAAAACTTGACATTTTAAACTTTAATCAGCAATCTAAAATATGGACCTAAATTCAGTGATCAAAATTTGACATTTTAAACTTTAATAAGCAATCAAATTACATAAATCTTAGTTCAATGACCATTGAAACAATTAACTCACTTTTTTCTTAAGTGAATTATTATTACTAATTTTTTTAAAATTAAGACTCGAATTAAAAATATAAAATGAAATAAAATTTAAAATGGGGGTTCAAATCAATCACTCCCCATTCATCAGGAGCTACTTGTTAGATCAACCAAATTATCATCAAACTATTCCAATGGACAGTGAAACACTGGAATGAAGTGAATTTTACATCAATTCCTGCTGGCTGCTACCTGATAATAACTGCCCAAATACAAAGCTCTGAAAGAGACTTTTCCATTTTCCCCCTTTACTGCATAAAAGGTACTAAGACAAGAAAACTCTTCTAGACAATATATTTTTGCTCAAATTAATGCTATTTTAAATTACATCCTCTAGATTCTTCAAACTAAGAAACAGAATGTCTCCCACTTCTCGAGGGTGTATACTTTGTTTCTTCAAGATTGTTCGACGAACCAGGGCTCTCCGTCGAATCCGAGCCACTGTTTTCACCCTGGCCAGCTTTTCTTGACCAGATTTTCGAAAAGATTTTCTTCGACATTATCAACCCTTTCATTTTACTCATGGAAGCCTTGTCACCATTTCTCTCATGCACTACTCCATTCCCTAATCTTAAAGCTGCCAGCTCGCCTCTCAATGCACGAAGTTCTTCAGCTGATGCTACGGCGTCCCAATCTTCATCTGTATTTGCAGTTGTCGATCTCGAGCTTCCATTTGAGCCACAGTTAAGGTCTTTAATAGCTTTAGGGAGATCAGGAGTGTTGCTGCCAGACGAAGCAGCAGCACGGACTTGCTCGAAATAGAGTACCTGTACAACTACACGCATAGGAAGTCTCTCATTTTGGACAGCATGCATGCATGCATCTGCCGAGAGCTTCTTGCAGTCCATCAGCTTGCATATTCTCTTCCTTTCGTTCTTGTTGATCCCAGGGTGCTCCTGCAACAAGACCGTGGATTAGTTAAATTGACAGAGCATTGACCAAATTGCAGCCACTATTTATTAATATCCATATCCTTCTACTGAAAACAAAATTTGTTTGAGTCGAAGAACCTCATTTTGTCGCTCGGTACAGAAAAAACCGAGCTTTCTTTCTTCCTAACATGATAGAGAAAAAGATGCAATTTTGGATTGACACAACTTTTAAGTTAAAAATGATACCAATCAATTTTAGGAAGACATGCTAATATTAGCATTGTTTCTTTTGGAAAGTAGCGGAAGTTTCTTACCTGTTAGGAAGTCACCTTTTGCATACATAGACAAATTAGCACTAAATGTATGCAACACTCTTGGAAAATTGTACGAAAAAACTAAAGAGAATGCTACCTTAAGATATGTATCAATTGCTCGATACAGCCCATCATGTGCAGGTCGAGAAAAGCTCGAAACCAATTCTGCGAGATCAATGAAACTCGACAAAGGAAGATTAGGATCCTTAGCAACCTCGGCAAGGTAACCATCAACTACCTTTACCACCATTAGCTTTGAGGCTTCTGACAAAATCCCTGGCTTTCTAAACTCCTGACTTTCATTGTCATTTTCCATTTCAGTTTCAGCAACTCGGTCTTGTATCATGAATTCTTCGACTATTTTCTGAACTATATTGACATCATACATGGTTGCTTCTCCATCACGAGCTAGTATTAACAGATCATTCACGGACGCGGCCTCCAGCTGCTGCCCTATTCTTTTTACAAGTTCTCCCTTCACCATCTCTCCTGAGTCAACTGAAACAGCCGCTTTCAACAACTTCAGCAAGAAACTACACGAAACACTGCCTTTTTCAGTAGGTAAAAGACAAACAATTGTATCCAATACTGAACGGAACTTTGAAACATCTTCGACCTGTACAACGCCCTTTGTAGAGCCTGGGAACCTTCTATAAGCATAAGCTTTCAAAGATTCTCCAATCACCTCATTCGATATTGTCCCCTTGCGTTTAATGTTACCGATAACTCTCTCATACAAATCTATTTCGAGCTCGCACAAGTCCTCAACCCACCAGTCGTTCGGCACCATTCGGCTTGTTACGCCATTCCATGGGGGATTATCTCCATTTTCCTCCCTGATTTTTTTCCGGTTATAGGTATAGGACCAGTCTACCTTGGAAACATCGGTCGAGGCCTTGGAAGCAATAGCATCAATGCAGTGACTGATTAACTTCAGTTCCTCGGACAAAGGTAGCAGAAACTTAGTTGTCTGAAGAGCCATAATCGAATCCTTCCAGCTTCGAAAAATGCTAGAGTTCAAGAAAACATCAACTTTGTAGATAAGGTTCCCTTTATCTATTGTCTCATGCATTTCGAGATATTCTGCTGCACAACGTGCAGCAACAACATTATGAGCATTGAGAGTGACGGTCATTCCATAACAAAACTTTGCACATATTTCAAAGGCGTTGGAACCGCCAGGAATGTCATGAATTTTGACCTCGTCACCACTTCCTTCATTAGAATACGAAACCAACTTCTGTAAGTGTGCACTTTTAGACAAAAGAGGAAACTGCGAAAAACCCAATATTAGGAGCAAATTGTTATTTCCGTATGAATCCACGACAAAAGTACCACAAATGCTAAGAATGTCAAGGAGATAAAAAAGGACATTTGAGTGAATATAATCTCAGACTTTACAAGATACATAGAGCTTGTTTGGCTGTGCTTAACAATTACTCGTCTAGATAATAAGCAAGATTAGCATCTGAAAATATGCAGGGAACTGTTTAGCCAAAAATTTGATTCCTCATGCTTCACAATAAGTGGTACTTGAGACATAAGAAAGAACGTCAATATTTACAACAGTTCCAAATCTATAAGTGCTATATCGTATCCATGTAAGATCATTTTTGGCAGTATAAATGTTAATGATTCAGAAAAGTTAAAGAAGCACCCCCATTCACGCTTAACACAGATGTCAATAGGCTCAACAAGACAAAATAACTGTAGTATCAAAAACAAAAACTTGAAATGATATTTTTGTCGCAGAAGTATTAGTAAGAACTTCGTACCTTGTGGAGATAAAATTTCACATCCCCAACATTAACAATAAAATCCGTTGCCAACTCTGTAGCCACATATCTGCAAGAGATTAGAGATTTTTTTATAATGTCAACATCCTCTTCTAACAAGTAGAGTGGAAACTTATATTACTTAAAATATTCTGAAGTAAACAAATTGCCAATTTGATATGTTAATTAAAGCCAGGGGTTTTCTTAGCTTCTATAGTGAGATATAAATGTTGCTTCAAAAGCATGAAATTAATTTTGTCAAAAAACTTCTAATATCCTACGCCTGATATTATTAAAGACATAAGCATCGAATTCACAATTTTACATCATTCCACGTCTAGAACCTAGATCACTACAAATGCATTAGAGTAATTCAATTTTTATCTTCTTCCTTTCAAGGATGGGAAGCATCAAAAGGAAAATCAATAATCATCTCTATCTTAATTTCAACTTCCTGCACATTGGTAAAGCCTATTCTTTGAAATGGGTATTTCCCTAAATGAATAGTAAAAGATACCGCCCCAAGAAGCACCAAACTAATTGACGCCAATAAAACATACTCAAATTATTATAGAAAACTTATGGGAGAGTTGAAATCGTTAACATATAGTAAATATCTTTTCGTTCTCCTCAATTGAAAGCAAAGTTCTCTCTTGGGTAACATGTAATTTATGAAAGATTGCTTATAAAAGAACATAATTTTTCGAGGAGTTTTATTTGTGCACATCTCATAATATAAATAGGAGCATTCGATTGCCTCCAACAAACTGGCATCAACAAATAGTCAAAACACAGTCCAAAATAGCCCTTCTGTAAAGGTGAACAATGATGACAAGCTCAACTATAATGTAAAAACTTTTTGGAGCAAGAAAATTGTCTGGGAAGAGTAACTCGTGAATAACCAATCCATCTTACTTAGTGTGGAAGTATAAAAGTTAGACAATTATTTCTTATATATTTTCAAGTTCTAAAAGAGCGCTGCTTGAAACCTCCTCAAAGAGCCCCAAGAAAACGAAGAATGGTAGTGGGTTTAACTATACTAACAAAAACAGTAGGGAGATAAAAAGGTTTTTAACATGTATTGAGCAATCAAGCAAGTTCAGAAAAACTCTATTTAAACAACAATCATTCAAAAGCACCAGCTATTACAGATTTACTGAGAAAATGTACGGAAGATTTTCTCACCTGATTTTCCCATCAGTCTGTAAGGAATCCGGCTTGGATCCAAGTTTCATAAACTTCATCCTGGCAAGTCAAAGATCTATTTTCTCACCAGATACTTCAAAACCAAACTTCCAAACCACTCAACTAATCACGGTAAACGTATTACACCAGATCAATTTGGGGACATCCCCAATGATCAGACAAAACCTAATTCGAGGAGGAGTCCCAGAAATGGCAAGCTAAGAAGTTCGAGGAGTGGGGACCAAATGTCTTGATATGGCTAATTTTATGAACTTCAAGGCCAAGGCAAGGGAATCTCAAAGAGGTGGACACATGCTTCGTATGACCGAATCTAGACAGGCAGGAGGGATTTCCAGTGGGAGATAGAAAATGGAGATATTGGGTTATGCAAATTTTTAGCTTAAAGAAACTTAAGTGGGAAGAGAACCAAAGAAGAGGTTGTTTCCTTGGTCAGTGGCAAAGCCCACGGACTCCGGGGGCACCCAGTCAACAAAGGAGACATAAACAACAGACTCTTCACACTAAATTATTCTCAAATCCCTCCTTTTACCATTAATTTTACTCTGTTTCTTTAATGGTTTTGTTTCTGGACAAACACATTTATAACTGTAGAAAAGCCCAAAATGCTCAAAGCTACAAGTTTCCCCATTAACAAATCAGAGATCTGTCAACATGTGCAATACCTAATTTAAAAAGGTTTAGTTTGAAAGACCTGCAACGGAAAACAGCATCTTGGAAACAGTTGAATCAACCACCAAAATGGTAGACAACAAGAATCTCCCCCTTTAGGTTTCTGCCAATGCTGAGGAATAAATGAGAAGATCACGCAATATCCAGGTAAATATAATGCAATACTGTTGCTCATACATACTAAAACATCAGCAACCAACAAAATCTGAGGTACAAAAGAGAATCATCTCAGAATATCAAAGAAATCTTCTCACGGGTAAAAATATAAACATATGGCCTTCATTATATGATGTAAAACTGGCAAATTTAAGAAAGTAAAGGGGCAATGTGTAGTGATCAGCAAACACAACCCATAAATCATTGTCCGTGTAAACCCCAAACAGAACCCAAGAATTACTATATGCATAAGCCCAAGAAATATCAACACAAATTTGTGATGCCAAAGCTCATTCAGCACAATAAAAAGAAAAGAAAAAATTCTATACTCCACATGCATTCAGTGCAAAAGAAATTCTAAGCACTGAAACCAAAAAAGAAAGGAATCGAGAAAATGTGTTTTAAGTCGTATTCTGCACAATAAAATACTCACTCAAAAAGCCAAGATTTGGTGCCATTTGCTTACCAGTTCTGTTACAGACTGGAATCCAACTTTTTTTTAAAGTTAAAACCCCATTAAAATTTGTTGGTTTCTTGAAGTACAAAAACTTGGTGGTGTGTTGAAGTACGATTTTTCCTTTCTTTTTTTTCTTTTTTTTTTTTTTTTTTTTTTTTTTTTTTTTAATTTGATGAAGTTCTATTCTACGCTTGTGAAAATTTTCTTGAGGAAGTAAGTACTTGAGAATGGAAGTTGTGGGGATTGAGATTAAGACAGGCAATTTGCTACATTATGCACGCCACACTGACACTCAGCTTTCTTGCTCCCTCTTTAACATCAAGTGCCCTTGGTACTTATAGTGAAATTGACCATTTCTTTCTGTCCTCGTTAGCCTGTGGAAATTCAACAAAAACTAGAAAATGACTCGTCTAATAATTTCCTGTACTGAATTTGAAGTTATTCGCAACGAATAATTCAAAGTGTGCACATAATCTTTACGATGCTGCTGTGGCAGATTGTGTTGTTCTTCCCTTATTTTTTTTGTCATCTTCAATCAAAAATTGACAAATAACTCGTGTATTTTGGTGAGAAAATAATTTCCATCTTCTTCCTTTTTTTTTTTTTTTTTTTGGTAATGGGAACAAATTCTATGCACAATTGTAAAAAAAAATAAAAAAAATTCCTTTAATTGATAATTTTCATGAAAAATAAAGTCAAACGAATACCAAAAGATCCAAAATTTCGACATTTTTCAAGTGAAAAATTGTACCAATCAAATACATTTAATTGAAAATTCACAATAAAATAAGTTATATGTAATTCAATTCAAAAAAATTCGTTTTCTTTTCACTCAAATTCCATTCTTATAATCAAACGGATCATAAGTGTAGCAAAGTTCATTAATAATTAACACAATATTATAATTTTGACAGTTGACACCTTGAAAGATTTGACATTGATAAGCCATTCCTCGTTATTTGAAAATCAATTGTGATGGTTAAAATCAGATTTTTAGTAAATTTTGATAAAAAATTAATGAATTATGTGATTAAAAAATTGTGAACTTCATAAAATATATGGTTAAATTAGTTACTGACTTTATCTTAGATTAAAATTTAGATAAAAATTCTATCCAACACCGGCTAAATTGAATGCATAGAGAGTTGAAAGAAAAAAAAAATGAGAAGAATTGGAAGTCAAAGCCTTGAACACTAATAATTAACAGTTTGTCAAGTGAAAATGCTAAAATAAACTATAAATACTCTTTTCTCAAATACTGATAAATAGGAAAAAAAAAAAAAAGGTTTTAGTATTGCAATTAAGGGAAAAAAACAAAGAGATACGGTTGATATGATGATTTTCAATTTCACTATCATGTCAATATAAAATTATTTTATATCATTTTATTATTGAAAATTTTAATATTTTTCAGGTGAAAAATTATACCAATTAAACACATTTAATTGACAATTTTCAATAAAACAAGTTATAGACAATTTAATTTATTGGAATTCATTCTTTTCACTCAAATTCCATTATTGCAATCAAACAGACCCTAAGGCCCCGTTTGTTTCTCATTTTTGAAAAATGAGAATGAAAAATATAGCCGTTACGGACCTCACACAAGAGATACAAATTCAAATTTGATGGCTTGATATGATGGATAACGGTCATATTTTTTATTTTAATAAGAAAATAATGAGAAACAAACGGGGACTAAGTATGAGAAACAAATGGGGACTAAGTCTTTTTTGAACAGATCTCTTTTGAAATTGGCAACTTTATTTTATATATTTGGTCTAAATTTGAAGATGTGATCGAAGAGAATATAATAAATATATTATGGTCAATTTCTAATCCTATCCACGTGGCCAAGTGGGCCAGTCAAATTTAGCTTAGTTTGAACAGTTGGTATTGAAATTGAAAAAATGGGAATACAAGATTTGAAATGAGACATGAACTTGATTCATCACATGCTACGTCTTGGTGTTTGATACTTTTATGAATCGCTCATAATTATGATTATAAGATCTTGCGGTAGAAATAATTGTCCTCCCATCTTGTATGGAATCTTCCTAAACTATAAGTTGATTAAATATTAACAAATTTTTTTTCAAGATTTTGTTAATCTCGTAAAGTTATATTTAAATTAATGGTGTCAAAATATATTTGATGATATAATCGTTGTGAAGATATTCTTAATGGGTTGAAAATCATATTAATATTTTTTTTCATCTTACAGATAAAGTAATAGGAATGAAAAAGAAATTTAAAATATCTTTTTCCAAAAATTCTCTTTTGAATTGTGAGGTACCATTACGAGCTCAATACGTGCAAGTGTTATTCTGTGAAATATCTCAATGAAACCCTTGAACTTACAACAACTCCGATTATTTCTTTTCTTTAGAACTTCACTTTCTCTTGAACCTGTGGATGGTATTGACTTGATCTGCTGGACCCAGACAAGCCGTCAGATGCTTGACAATTAAAAATTGATTGGTCAATTACGAAACCAGTGTGAACCGATCAACCTTTTAGGTGTGGTCGTGCTTCGTTATGTCGTAGTGTCTACTAGATATGGCAGTGTCTAGGATTAGATATGGTCTGATTCGGTTCGATTCTAACATAAATTAAATTGAAACCTTAATTTCTGGACATTTAGTAAGTGGAATCATCGGGTATAAATTTAAATATAAAATTGTTCAGGTTTGGTTCCATTCGGTTCGGTTCCTAGGATGTGTATTATAATTAAATCTTTTTAATATTTACAAAGTTACATTAATTTAACTAATGATATATTCAATTTTAGCTCCTACAAAAAAAGTAGTACAATTTTATGTGTCTTTTGTGTCTCTTTGCTAAGTTCTTCATAGATTTAATTGTTAAAATCATAGGAAGAGAAAGATAGCGAGCTCACAATAGTTAAGAGGGACGTTGTAGAGTTTCAATTCGATTTTTTCAGAACGGTAAAAACTACACTATAGTAGAATAATATATTTGGATAAAATTTAAGTTAATTTAATTAAACTGACTTTGAACTGAAAGTTAAAAAAAAATAATGATAATAAAATTTTATTTTTGGATTTGAGTTAAATTAACTAGTTAGCAAATTTATTTAGAAAAAGTAAAATAATTTGACTTATTTAAAATAAATTAATTAAAAAATTATGGAGATTTAGTTCTCGATTCAGATACTCGTTCAGGTATTTAATTTAAGAAGAATCGTTCGGCTCGGGAGTTTTGTTCAGCCCTAGCAGTTTGGCAGATTCAGGGCGGTCCCCGTTTGTTGTCCTTATATATATAATGTATTTGACCTTTAATATGTGAAAGAAATAAAAACGTATTACAAGACGTTTAGAAATTTTTAAAAATACTTAAAAATCAATTTTACTTATAAAGTCTATAGTAAAATATACTATAGTGGGACAACGACATTTGTAGAGATGGCAATGGAGCAGGTCGTGGTCAGGGCAATCTCCCTTGCTCCTGCCCTGTTACCCATCGTTTAATTTTTCTATTATATTTTTTTTTTTAGTTTTTGATAATTCATTTTATTACTCACGGTCATTAAAGTGACACAATATTGAATTTTTTTAATTTTTTAAAGATAAATCTTATGGAAGTGTACTAAAAGAAAAGACAAATGAACCGCGCTAAATTAAGCGTGGTTCAGCTTTTGCCACCTCAAAGGCAAGTCGAGGTAGAGGAATGTACACATCTAAACCAGTTAAATGTAATAAACAAAACAGTGTGATTCAATTTCAATTTTTGTTTTTGTTTTTGTTTTTTGGTTATAAAAGAGACATACAATCATGTTTAGATACTGAAAAAAGATTCCATGCAATCTCTAACAAAGTGATCTAGCCTACCCCCATTAAGTATCCGTTTGACTCTCATTAATTTCTATTTGATTACATTTTATTTTTCTTTCTCGAATTTTCAATCACACAATTTTTCATAAAATAATATTACACGTAAATCGAAATTTTTTACTTTTTTTCAATCACTCATTTTTCAAAAAGTACTATTTACCCATTTTCATTTTTACAAAATAGGGGCTAAATTTCAAGCTTTTAAACAGCTATAGATTGAAAACCTTAGCTAGCATGCAACTAATAACTTCTGGCAAATGCCTCTTTAGCTTCCATTATAGTATTCAATGACACTTGCAGCTCACTTGGTGCATTAACTAGAAAGAAAAGATTATGAAAATGTCACTTGGGATCCATTTGACATAACTTCTATTTTTGCTTTCGTTTTTTGTGAAAGAAAAATTCTTTTTTAATTTATTTTTTCAAAAAAGCTCTTCTAACTATATAAAATACTATAAAAACATATCCTTAATTGTCTAACACAAAGCACATGGCCACGAATATTGGCATATATATTCAATATAATAAAAAAATTTGAACAATGATAGTGTGCCTAATCATATACTTTGCTACATTAATGAAATTTAATTAGCAAATGATACTTTAATGATTAAGGCATATATATTTATGTAGCCGGAACAATATTAGATACTATTAACACAATAAAATTAAAATCTTGTGCATTATGTTATCATTCTTTTTCAACGTAATTCTATAAATTAAATAGTAATGATTAATATTTTAAAAAATTAAACGCATTTAATATCTGACACTATATTCAAACTTATTACTTATATTTCACACTTATTTTTAATCACATGTTCTCTGAAAATTTTATTTTTTATATTTTTTCATAAAATTTTCGTATTTTTAAATTATTTATTCGTGATAAAAAAAAAGGGGGGGAAGAAGAAGAAGAGAAAGAAATTCAAAGAATCTGTACTCGAATAATCTCTATCATACACTTTTGGACTCTATTTATAATTCAGCTAAAAAAATGGATTAAATTGTAATCGACTACTATCACTACACATTTTATTAATTTTTATTAAAATTTATTAAAAATTTTAAAGTTGTGACGTTATTTAGGGTCCTTATCATGAGAATCAAATCGAGACCCACATGGCATTGGTCAAACTAGCAGATCATGAATGATCATAGGGCCGTACGCTAGAGGCAGTTATTATTATTATTATTTTTTTTTAAAATTTTTTTTAACAGCTAATTAATTTCCTCAAAGTCCTGAGTAAATAATGGAACTTGATTGAAGGGAGGTTTAGAATTTAGACATT